TTCTTTGCAGCTTTTTCTCTCCAGCTTCCCATTGCTTTGGGACCCCACAACCAGTTAGTGTCTTCTCCCCAACTGTCAGCACAGGCAGCATATGCTCACTTATACCTTTATCCCCTGGCCCATTTTCTTTTCTTTTTTTTGAGCAGTCAGAGAAGGGCATGTCGTGCTGCTTTGTCTGCCAGGGAAGAAAGTCATTGCTCTGGGTACATATAAGAGAGGCAGCTCCCTTTAGGCTGGGCGTAGAGAAGATGACACCAAGGAGTGAAGGCCCCTTTTCTGTCTGGGATGTGAGCAGCATAGGCCAGCTGTCATCTTCCAAAATCAAAGTAATGCAAGGTAAGGCTAACGGCACTGGGATAATGTGTCTCCTTCACATATCCCAGTATTTTAAATCACTTTTTTTTTTCACTGAGATGCTAGAACTCAAACCCAGGGCCCCATCCATGTTAAGCAGCTGCTCTATCACTGAGCTATACCACCAACCCTCCTGCTTCAGCCTCCAGAGTGCTAGGATTACAGATATGTATCACCACGTCCCACCCCCCATACTTTAGTATGAAAAATTTCCAATATATGAACAGGTGCTGAAAGAATACCCATGTGCCTAGCCCCTACAACAAACGTCCTGCTGTATTTGCTTTACTAAAAATCTGTCCCTCCATCTCCTTCTCTAGCTGATCGTTAAGCATTCTTTTTTTGTTCATTTGTTTGTTTTGGTCTTTTTGAGACAGGGTCTCGCTGTGCAGTTCAGGCTGGCCTTGAGCTCACTTGTAGCCCAGGCTGGCCTCAAACTCACAACGATCCTCCTGCCTCAGCCTCCCAAGTGCTGGGATTACAGGCATGTGCTGCCACGCCCGGCTATCGTTAAGCATTCTTATTTTTTGATTTATTTCAAAATAAATTGCAAACGTCATTCACGTTAGTACATGTTATTAACCGGAACTCCGCCTCATCTTTGAGGTAAAATTTGTGAAATGTAGTACTCAAATATGCCGTTTGATTAGTTTGAGAAGTGTAAGTATCTCTGTAACCCAATCCATTTTCTAGACAGAGGCTGTTACCACCACCCTAAAATGTTCTCCTATGCCTCTTCCCGGGCAGCCGCTGCCGTATTTTTTTTCTGCGTAAATTAGTTTGAAGTGCTGTAGAATTTCACGTAGATGACATTACTCACTGGTCTCTCCTCTTGGCAAGGCTTCTTTCGTTTGGTGTGCTTTTGAGATTTACTTACATTGTGTATCGCTAATTTGTTCCTTTTTACTGCTGAATACTGCTCCATGGTACGTATTATGTATCCATTTGTTTGCACATTCTCCTATTGATGGACACTTGGTCTCTTTCCAGCTCGGGCTATTGGGAATAAAGCTGTTCTGAACATTGTTCTGTAAAAATTCTTTCATAGATACACCTGCCTGTATCTCTTGGGTAAATACCTAGGAGTGGCATTTGAGGACACGAGGCAGGTGTGTGTTTAGATGTGTAAGAAACTCCCTTCTTCCAGGGGGCTGTGCTGGTGCGCTCTCACCGCGGCGGGTGAGCCGTGCGCCTGCTGACGCCCTTGCCGACATTAGGTGTTGCCACTCTTAATAATTTCACCCACGCTGGGGGTGTGTAGTATATGTCATGTGGCTTGAATTTGCATTTCCTTGATGACTGGGGACATTGAGCTCCTATTTAGATGGCTTCCTTTGTGAAATATCTACTCAAGTCTTTGCCCATTTAAAATAGTTGGATTATTTGCCTTTTTATTGTTTAGTTCCGGATATTCTTTAGATATTCCAGATACAAATCCTTTGTCAAATACATTTTGTGGACATTTTCTTCCAGGCTGTGACTGAAGCAAAGGCTTTTTGTTGTTTCTTTTCTCTGTAGTGCTGAGGATCAGCCCGGGGCCTTGTGCATGCTAGGAAGGCAGGCGCTCAGCCGCTCAGCTGCACTCCCAGGCTGGAGCAGAAGTTCTGATTTTGATGAAACCTTATGTATCAGTTTTTTCTTTTGTGGTTATTACTCTCCATGCCCTAAGAGACCATCACCAGCCCCCAAGTTGCAAAGGTGTTCTTCCCCTGTTTTTTTAGAAACTCATTTAGCTTTTATGTTTAGATCTGTGCTCCATCCTGAATTAATTTGGTATGTAGTGAAGATAGGCAGATTGTCTTTGTGCAGGTTATTTAGCTTAACTCTGTAACCCTGTTTGATAGGTTTGGTCTTGTAGTAGTATTTTGCTTTTATCTCTTAAATGGCTTGGGAGTGGGAGAAGTTAGACTCAATAGCTCCGTACCAGAGAGTTCTCATTCTCTGGTTTATGTATAAAGTCATAGTCTAGATCTCCTATGGAATCTTTTAAGTGCATTGTTCAATTAAAACTCATATATTCATAGGTTTCCCTTTTCTTTGAAGGGATTCTCTGGACATGTACCAAAGAACAACAAACATTCACAGACCACAAAATGTGAGGATCGGAGATTTTTTTTTTAAATTTAATTAATTTTTGTTGTTTGTTTTTGAGACAGGGTCTCGCCATGCAGTTCAGGCTGACCTTGAACTCATTGTGTGGCCCAGGTTGGCCTCAAACTCATGACGATCCTCCCGCCTCAGCCTCCTAAGGATTACAGGTGTGCACCACCATGCCCAGTTTGGTGATGGTTTCTTAGGCATAGAAGACAATAACTAAAAGAAAACATTTACCCCAATTTCTTTTTTTTGTTTGTTTGTTCTCTGAGACAGGATCTCGCTATGTAGTTCAGGCTATCCTCAGACTCAGGGCGATCCTCTTTCCTCAGCCTCCTGAGTGCTGGGATTACAGGCTTGTGCCACCATGCCTGGCTCATCCCGATTTCTTTTTTTCATCCCTTTCATTTCCCTCCCTCCCGCTTCCCTCAAAAAAAAAAAAAAAAAGGAATCAAGGGCTGGGTTGGTGAGGGGAGGGAGGGGCTGAGAAGGAATTAAGATATGCCGTGCACATGCCCCAACTCCCCACAAGGAGTGTAAACACGTGTGCCATCGACATGTACTAATAGACTAAAAGGAAAAAGTTATACAAATTTACAAAAGGGAACACTGGGCTGGGAGTGTAGCTCAGGGATGGAGCACTTGCCTAGCCGCCTGAGGCCCTGGGTTCAGTCCTTAGCACTGCAGAAACCAAACCAAACCAAACCAAAACCCGACAAACCAGGCATCGTCACGACCAACCTTGTCCAAGCCGCAGATTGGAAGAAAATGTCTGAAACATAGCTGATAAAGAGATCCAAAGCCTATAAAGAACCTCTGCAACTAAGTCATAAAAAGGCGAAACCCCCAATCTTTGAGTGGGCTGAAGGCTTGCATAGGCAGGTCGCAAAGGAGGACGTGTGAATGGCCAGTGAGCACG